CACTCCCAACTTAATGGTTTTTAATCAGGTTACTTTAAAAAAGGAAATTCTTTTTGCAGGGTGTAGTGACACACACCTTTAATCCAAACACTTGGAAGGCAGAGGCAGGCAGTTCTCTGTGAGCTGGAGACCAGCTTGGTCTCACATTGAATTCTAAGCCAGCCAAAGCTACAACAAACAAAATTCCTTCTATTTAGACGGAGTCTTTTTCTTTCAGTACTGGGAATCAAATCAAGAGAATCATGAACACTAAATGTTCTTTCTCACTACTTTCTCAATAATAGAAACTTCTGTCCTTTTAGTTTTTTAGAAAAGTAGCCTATACAGGCGGAATTCGAGGCCAGCCTGGTCTACAGAATAAGTTCCAGGATAGCCAGGACTACACAGAGAAACCCTGTCTCAAGGAAAAAAACAAACTAAATAAAGAAAGAAAGAAAGAAGAAGAAAAGCAGCCTGTAAAAGGTAAGGCGACTTGCCCACTACTGCAATCCTGACAGGCAGCCAATCTGAGTCCCACCGGGTAAGGTGACTGTAAACTCGGGCATCTAGCCCCTTCTCTGAGAACGAGGTCCACTTTTCTCCTAGCTCCCATTTCACAACTGCTGAAGTTCCTGCTCTGTCCTCTATCACTTTCCCGAAAGGAATGTTCATGTATTCACTGCATTGCATAGGCTAGCCTGAAACGCCAAGGTCTTCCTGCCTCTGCCTCCCTCCCTCCCGTGCAGGGCTCTTCTTCCGTGACTGCCCAAGAGCATTCTTACCTCGCCTTCAGGACTTCCTGCCTTTTCTCCCTCTTCTACCCTTCCATGTTACCCTCCACATTTCCTTGTCACTTGTGTCCTGACCACAAACCGACTGATGACTAGGACACCTGGATGGACTTGGGCTTCTTAGCTCACCTGTCTCCTCCATAACCCCAGCACAAGCAGCCTCTTTTCTGTGTCTTCAACTTCTTTGGATTATTTTATGGAAAGACTCTTTCTTTTCTGGGGGAGAGGGGAGTCTCCTCTGTGTAGCCCTGGCTGTCCTGGAACTCGAGATCCACCTGCCTCTGCCTCCCAGCTGGGATTGAAGGTGTGCTATGACCACTGTCTGGCTTATAAAGATTCTTTCAAGGCCACAAAACAAGACTCTGTCTCAAAGATGTGGTGGTGCACATCTTTAATGTCAGCACTCTGAAGGTAGAGACAGGTGGATCTCTGTTAGTTCCAGTCCAGGCAGAGCTACACAGCGGAGACCCTGTCTTAAAAACAATTAATTTCAGGCTAAAGTGTCCTTTTCCCTTCACTTATTCTGAACTTACTACAAGTGAGCCTTTGCCCGGTCCTTGCCAGCAGGCCCCACTCCCCGACCTTCGGGTCCCGTGACAACACCTTCTGGTGTACACTCACTTCTCCAGCCCCTCTCTATCTATTGTCTGTCCACTTCAAAAATGGCGGCGGCCCACACCTTTGCTCCCAGCACTCGGGAGGCAGAAGCAGGGGGGTCTTTGTGAGTTCGAGGCCAGTCTGGTCTACAGAGCGAGATCCAGGAAAGGCACAAAGCTGCACAGAGAAACCCTGTCTCAAAAAAAAAAAGGGCTGGAGAGATGGCTCAGAGATTAAGAGCACTGACTGCTCTTCCAGAGGTCCTGAGTTCAATTCCCAGCAACCACATGGTGGCTCACAACCATCTGTAATGAGATCTGGTGCCCTCTTCTGACCTGCGGTCATACATGCTGTATACATAATAAATAAATAAATCTTCAAAAAAAAAAAAAAAAAAAGCCAAAATAATGGGAGCTAGAGAGATGGCTCAGCAGTTAAAAGAGCTGTAGCTTCTTTTCCAGAGGACCCAGGTTCAATTCCCCGCACCCACATGACAGCTCACAGCTCACAACTATGTAACTCCTGTTCCAGGAGGCCAGATGCTATCATATAGACATACCTGAAGGCAAACCACGAATGTATATTAACAAGATAAATGAAATAAAAATTTATTTATTTATTTATTTTGTTTGTTTTTTTGTTTTTTTTTTCGAGACAGGGTTTCTCTGTGTAGTTTTGCGCCTTTCCTGGGACTCACTTGGTAGCCCAGGCTGGCCTCGAACTCACAGAGATCCGCCTGGCTCTGCCTCCCGAGTGCTGGGATTAAAGGCGTGCGCCACCACCGCCCGGCATTATTTTTGTATATATCAGTGTTTTGCTACATGCATGTCTGTGCACCACATTAATGTCTAACACATGAAGCCTGAAGCAGTCATTGGATCCCTTGGAACTAGAGTTACAAATGGTTGTGACCATGTGGGTCCTGGGAATTGACAAATCCTCAGTACAAGTGTTCTAAAACTGTTGAGCCGTTTATCCAGTCATTCTAGTTCATATTTTAATTATGTGTGTTGTGTGTCTGTGTGAGGTATGTCGGTACACATGAGTGCAGGTGCCTGGGGAAGCCAGAGGAGGGTGCTAGTAACTGAGTTGGTGCTCTGCAAGAGCAGTATGCACTATTACTACTGAGCCATCTCTCCAGGCCCTCCTTTCTTCATTTAACCATCAAGTACTTATTGAACGTCTACTATTGAAAATTGAAAGGGAGGGGGGAATCATGCAATCCTATTATAATCTCAAAAGAAAAAAAATTAAGTCTATTATGAGCTACCCGACATTTTAGGAACCAGGGATACAGAAATTTCTCCAAGAAGCTTATTATCTATAAGAAACAAGAAAGAAAAAGAAAAAAACCAGAGGGGCTGGCGAAATGGCTTAGCAGCTTAAAAGCACTGGCTGCTCTTCCAAAGGACCCGCTCACATGGCAGCTCACAGCTGTCTATACTACAGTTCCAGGGGATCAGGCATCTTCACCCAGACATACATACATGCAGGCAAAACACCAATGCACATAAAAATAAATAAATTAAAAAACAAACAAACAAAACTGGCTGCTGGGCATCATGGCTCAGGCCTTTAATCCCAGCACTCTGGAGGCAGAGGCAGTCTGATCTCTGAGTTCAAAGCCAGCCTGGTCTACACAGAGAAACCCTATCTCAAAAAACAAAACAAAAAAGTAGAAACAAGAACAAGCTAAGGTGTGTCACCCCACCCCGGAACAGGTAAGCCTGAAACAGGAATGTGGCTAACAGTTGGAAGACAGGCTGGCAAATGAGCCATCAGGGCCACTGAATCTTCTTAGCTGACTTCTCAACTAAACTGGTCAGGTGTAGTGGCACACGCCTTCAATGCCAGCACTCCAGAGGCAGAGTAGGGTGAATATCTTTGAGTGGGAGGCAAGCCTGGTCTACAAAGTGAGTTCCAGAACAGCCAGGGCTACATAGAGACCCCATTTCAAAAAATAAAAATAGTGCCGGGCGGTGGTGGCGCACGCCTTTAATCCCAGCACTCGGGAGGCAGAGCCAGGCGGATCTCTGTGAGTTCGAGGCCAGCCTGGTCTCCAAAGCGAGTTCCAGGAAAGTCGCAAAGCTACACAGAGAAACCCTGTCTCAAAAATAAATAAATAAATAAAAATAAAAATAGTAATTTCAACATAGAGTTTCTTCACCTTCTACAACCTGAGTGATCATATCCTTTTCTATGGAAAATTAACTATCTGCATTATTTTATACTAACAATTACCAAAAATAAAAACAACTGTCTTCTAAACTTCAGATGTAAATAGCCAAACGCCTACTGGATGGCTGGCTAGCTATCCCCTAAACAACTCAACAGTTATTCCTAAAACATGAAAACAAAAGCTAGACAAAGTAGTGTAGGCCTGGAGTCAGCAAGATGAGCAAGACTCTTAGTTCAAGACCAATCTAAGCTGCTTGGTAAGACCCTTTCTCAAAGGTGCTGTCCCCTCGACTTTCCTGGGCTTGGTGAGTCACTCCAGTTCTTGGGTCCAAAGCACTGACACACACCTGCTCGTTCAGAGGTCTCTTCTCTGTGCTCTCCCCAACACTGAACATCCATCCCCTTATCCCAGCACAAACACAGAAAGGTACTGGTGACATTGTCTAGCTCCCCCTTCAGACGGGAACTCAAGACAGGAAATGTGACTCGATGAGTCCTCCAGCCCCAACAGACACACAACCCAGGACAGAATAAGCTGCTCCACGCTGGTTCAATGAAAAGTCTTGTTTTAACAAGTTGCATCTTTCCCCCTTGCACCCCCGGGGAGCCCGATATCCCAACTCGCAACTGCAGGCCGTACTCATAGACTTAGGGGTGGGTGGGGGAGGGGGAAGCGGGTGGCCAGTCCTGCAGAACTCATCCAAAAAAAAAGGACAAGGGGACAGTGGGGGACCTTTGTAGTCTCAGCAGAAAAAGATAATCCTGCCAAACCATCTCCATCACATTATGCTCCCCGCGCCAGGTTCAGCCTTCCCTCCAGGAGTCCCAGTCCAACTTCACGTCCGATTCCCTGGGAATCTCCCCCACCGAGATTACCCCAGGCTACCCCTTCCACGACCCCCACTCTCGGCCTCAGCCTCGACTTCCTCTCCCCAACCTCCTTCAGCCTCGACTTTTCCTCAGCCTCCACCCCCCCCCCCCCCCCCCCCCCGGCCAGCCTCGATCTCCTCCCAGGCTCCTCCCTCAGTCGCGACCTCTTCCCAGCCGCCTCTCCCAGTCTTTCCCCGCCGCCCGGCCCCCGCCGCCAGGCCGCCGCTCACCATCGTAGTAATAACAGACTTTCCTCTTGGTGCCCTGAGTCTGCGCCATCTTGCTCACCGCCCGGCCCTCCCGTCAGTCCGTCCGCCCGCCCGCCCGCGGCTCCTCAAGGCGTCCGACCCGGGGGAGGAGCCAGCCTCGACGCCCCGCCCTCCCACCCCGGACTCACCTATAGGCGCACAGCCCGGGCCTCGCTCCAACCAATCACCTTGCGCGGGGCCGGGCCCGGAACTCGGAAGGGGGCAAGGGCAGCCTGGAGAAGCCGCCGCGGGCCCCCTGGGCCTGTACCAAAGTCCGCAGCGGAGGGGTGGGGGAGACCCGGGGCCGTACCATCAAGTCCCGGGGGAGGGATCGGCTCCGAAAACTCTGTAGCCCCGCTTTACAGTTGGGATCGTGGGTAATGATCAGAGGCCAGCTTTCTCATTTTACCCAGACTACGCGGAGACTTCCCAAAGGAAAAGACTTGCGCAAGGTCACTCAGCTAAACGAATAGGTTGGGTCTGGATTAGAACTCGGGAGAGAGAAATAAATGACAAGGAACAGAAAGAAAACAGCCAGAGGCCTACTGTAGTGGATGGGGCAAGAGCTTTTCATATTATTTAGCTCTGATGATGGACTTTTGGGGTTTTTTTAATGAAAAAACTCCATTTTAGTTGAGCGTGGTTGCGCATACCCTAACCCCATCACTTGGAGGCGGAGGGAGACATCGGATCTCTGTAAACTGAGGCCAGCCTGGTCTACATACTGAAACCCTGTAAAAAATAACAGCCACCCCACCCCACTCCCGCGCGCGCCGCCAGTTTACAGGTAAGGCTGAAAAACTTAAGGTTTGTGTGAGTCACTCAATGCTACAAATTAAATTCCATTTCCAATTTACGTTTTTGTTTTTTTTTAAACCTATAGGCCCCAGAACTGTGACAAAGTAGCAGAACTTGGTGCTTTGTTTTGTCTTTAATTTATTGGGAGGGGATGCCCCTATGGCGATGGCATGCACAGGAGGTGAGTCAGCGTCAAGTTGCAAGAGTCAGGAGTTGGCTCTCTCCTTTCACTAATTTATGTCCCGGGGATCGAACTCAGGACCTCAAGCCTGGCAGAAAGCACTTTTGTGCACTGAACCATCTCACCCTCCCAGAACTTAGCTACATGAGCTCAAAGCCTGCCCCACCCTAGGCAATCATCCAGGATGACTTAGGAGTCCAGGCCAGAGGTAATGGGATGGTCCCACCATTAGATTAGAACAGCAACATTTCTGGGGGTTTTGTTGTTAGGTTTTGTTTTCCAAAACAGGGTTTCTCTGTGTATCCCTGGCTGTCCCAGAACTCACTCTGGAAATGGTGGTATTAAAGGCAGGTACAGCCATGCCCAGCTGACAGCAACATTGATTGACTGATTGATTGGGTCTTTCAAAACGGACTTTCTCTGTGTAACAGCTCTGGCTGTCCTGGAACTACATTTGTAGACCAGGCTGGCCTCAAACGCACAAAGATCTGCCTGCCTCTGCCTTCCAAGTGCTGGGACTAAAGGTATGCACCATCACTGCCCAATGACAGCAAAAATTTTTAACCTTGCCACTATTGACATTTTGAAACAGAAATCTTTGTTACAGGTTCTGTCTTAGGCATGGTGGATGTTAATTGGTGTGCTTGGCCTCCTTAGATGTCAGTAGAAACATCCCACACACCCCCACACTGTGAAGACCAAAATTTTCTTTAGACAGGATTGGGGATTTAGCTCAGTAGTAGAGCGCTTGCCTAGCAAGCACAAGACCCTGGGTGTGTGTGGGGGGGTGTCTTTAGACATTGACAAATGTCTGGTAACAGGATGTGTAGGGTCTAGATGCAGGTGAAAATCTTCTCCCATGCCAGGCGGTGTCGCACACCTTTACTCCCAGCACTTGGGAGGCAGAGGCAGGCGAATCTCTGTGAGTTCAAGGCCAGCCTAGGTCTACAGAGTGAGTTTTAGGACAGCCAGAGCTACATAGTGAGACCCTGTATCAGAGAAAAAAGAAGAGGAGGAGGAGAAGGAAGAAGCAGCCTTACTATTTAATTAGTTCTTAACTATACAGCCAATATTATGATGAGTTAGTTACTTATCTACGTTCCTAAGTCAACAAAGCATGTATTTTATGTTTTGTTTGATTTCTTTGTTAGGGCCTTACTCAATTGCTCAGTTTAGTCTTGAAATCTTCCTTCTTGATGTTGTTTGAGACAGGGTCTCAGTATGTATTAAAGATATGTGCCACGACCCATCCTGGTTTTGACATCTTGAATTCAAGGGATCCTCCTACCTTGGCCTCTCACGAGCTAGGATGGACCTGGTGTGAGATGTGTGCACTTGAAACACATGCAGTCAGATCTCTAAGAGTTCCAGGCCAGGTTAGTCAACGTAATGAGGTCTGGAGACTACATAATGAGATTCTGTCTCAAAGCAATACAAACAAAAACCACATTGCCAGGCATGGTGGTGCACACCTTTAATCCCAGCCTTCAGGACACAGAGGCAGGTGGAGCTCGGAACTCAAGGCCAGCCTGCTCTACAGAGCAAGTTCCAGGACAGCCAGGGCTACCCAGAGAAACCTTGTTTAGGGAAAAACAAACAAACAAACAAAAAAAGAGCTGGGACTGAGGCCTGAACACCACCATGCCCAGCCCTTGTATCCTTGTATGCTTCTTTATATAGTGTTTAAGCTATATATATGTATATATATATACATATATATATATGTTTCCCTTGGGAATTTCCTTCAAGCCTTTAGAAATAAGGAAAGAGCAAAGGGCCAGGAAGCAGACCCCATTTCATCTCTGTGTTGCTGCTTGCCTACTGGCTTTAGGTGGGTCTACTTACCCGTTCTAGGACTCCATTTCCATCTTTGCAATATGGAGAGAATAAGACCTCAAAGTTTCCCAGCTCCATGGCCACACACAGTACCTATCGTGGAATGAGATCATGGGTATTGAAGCATTTTGTAAAATGTAGAACAAGGTTTACAACCTTAGATGCCCACAGAGGCCGAGTGGGTGGTATAAATGGATGAGTGCATATTCTTATGACTCAGATATTGTAAGTTTGCATAGTTTAAAACTTGGGAGTTTTTCCTCAGGCTGTGGTAGCACACGCATTTAAACCCAGCTTGGGAGGCAGAGGCAGGTGAACCTCTGAGTTCAAGGCCAGCCTGGTCTACAGAGCAAGTACCAGGACAGCCAGGGCTATGCAGAGAAATTCTGTCTTGAAAAACAAAAGCAAACAAATAAAAAACCGTATATCTAAAATAAAATATAGCCCTTTATTTAGTTTTGTTTTGACACAGGATCTTACTTTGTGTCATAGAATGACCTAGAATTCACTCTGTGGCCCAACCTGGCCTCAAACTCCTGTTGAAACACCCACCTCAGCCTCAGAAAGCTGGGATTACAGGCATGAGCCACCACGCCCTGCTTAAACATGACCGTTCAAATGAGTAGCTGTAAAAAGAGAAAAAGGCTATTACTCTTGTGTAAAAGAGACAAGGGACCTATGACACACTCACACTCTTAGGAGGTGCCGTGTAAGGATGGAGAGGGGGAACGCTGGCCTGGGCTAGTGAGATGAGCTGAGCTGGTAAAGGTACTTGCTCCTGCCGGGCGATGGTGGCGCACGCCTTTAATCCCAGCACTCGGGAGGCAGAGGCAGGAGGATCTCTGTGAGTTCGAGGCCAGCCTGGTCTACAAAGTGAGTTCCAGGAAAGGTGCAAAACTACAGAGAAACCCTGTCTCGAAAAACCAACAAAAAAAAAAAAAAAAAAAAAAAAAAAGGTACTTGCTCCTAAGCCTGAAGACCTAAGTTTCCTGCCCAAGCCCCACGTGGGAGAAGACAGAAGAGACTCTAAAGTCTCTTCTGACTCCGTAGGTATTCCATGGCATGCATGTCCCCACATCTTTGTTCATACAGACATACCCATACACACATTAAAAAATGTAAAAAATGTGTTTAAATGGTGCCAGGCATGGTTGGCCCTTCAAGCATTCAGGAGGTAGTCAGATCTCTGTGAGTTAAAGGGCCAGTTAGGGTTATAATAAAGAGAACTTATGTCCAAAAGAGAGGGAGAAGGAAAGAGAAAGAGCACAAAGGTAACACTTCAATTTTAAGGGATTTGTGGACCTCTTCCCTTAGACTCCTGCATCATAATGGTTGAAAAAACATCCGACATCTGCAGTTGGTCTGTTTGGGGACTGCTAGCTCCCCAGTAATGACCCAGAGACTTAATATTATTTTTTTTATTGTTATTATTATTATTTTTTTTTTTTTTTGGCTTTTCGAGACAGGGTTTCTCTATGTAGCTTTGGCACCTGTCCCGGAACTTACTCTCTAACCCAGGCTGGCCTTGAACTCATAGATATCTGCCTGCCTCTGCCACCCGAGTGCTGGGATTAAAGGCATGCGCCACCCCCCCCCACCATCCCCACCCCCCCCCCACCCCCCCCACCCCCACCCCGCCTGAGACTTAATATTACTAATTATGACAGCTTGGCCTTTAGCTTTGGCTTGCTCTCAACTAGCTCTTATAATTTAAATTAACCTGCTTCTGTTAATCTACAATCTGCCACATGGCTTTTTACCTCTCCTCCATTCTGAAGGTCTGATTCCCTCTGTGACTCACTGGTGTCTCATGTATCTAGATTCTAACCCTTCTGAGTTCGTCTCTCTGCTCAGAAGGCCCGCCTAACCTCTCCTGCATAACTATTGGCCATTCAGCTTTTTATTAAACCAATCACAGTGGCACATCTTCACACAGTATACAAATATCCCACAACATTTCCCCATTTTTGTCTAAATAAAAAAGAAAGGTTTTAATCCTAACACAATAAAACTATATGTAATAAGAACAATTAGCTGGGCAGTGGTGACACATGCCTGAAATCCCAGCACTCAGGAGGCAGAGACAGGTGAATCTCTGTGAGTTGGAGGTTAGCTTGGTCTACAGAGCAAGTTCCAGGACATCTAGGGCTACACAGAGATACCCTGTCGAGAAAAAACAAAAAACATACAAACAAAAAAAAAGGAACAATTATCAGGTAAGTATTACTTTCACAATATCCAGTCCATTTGTTTTTGGCAAATTTGGAGAAAGTACTCTATTATCTATCCTATCTCAGTGAGTCCAAATATTAACCTAAACGAATTTCTATTATAAATTGTATTACCATACTAAAAATATAATTTTAGACCTTAAAGCATTTTCTTAGATTTAAGAAAGCTTTTTAAAGAACTTAAGCTTTTATGTCTTTCAACCTTATAAACTTTAGATTTTTTTGTAAGTTTTTTTTTTATTTGGTAACAAAGAAAACTGTATATCTAGTCTCCAACCCCATCAGAGACCCTAGAAGGATAAAATACTGCCTCAGTAAAAAAAGGAAGTGCAGAGCAAAAAAATTCCCAAACTATAGAAATGACAGAAACATTTGACTGCCTGGACAGTCAACCAAGGTTCCTCTGCAACATTGGGGCATCTATCTCAGCCTATGGGCCCAGAATTTCTGACAGACTTTTCTGTGAAGCAGGAATTTTGAATGACTGTCCTCTCTTGTCTTGGCAAAGTTTGGCAGTTGCTTTCTATTGTGTCCTACTTGTTCAATCTCAACAGCATATTGTCAGCAGTGGAAGCAAGGGCAGATTCTTGCCCAGTGGATAACTTTGCCACAAAGCAAATTCCATATGGAGATTGTTCAGTGTCTATCATCTTCTCTGAAGTAGCTTGGTGCTGCCAGGAGCAGACGTCTCTCACTGTCATGAAAAGCCTTATGTCTTTAGAACATCTTAAATGCCATATTCTGTAGGTCTCTGAAGTGTTTGAAGATCATCTATCTGTCTAAAGTATATCTGTTTGATCTTGAAAACATAGCTACCATGACTATAAAGTTTGATTGTTATAGATGACTAACTACTAACCTGTATTTTTTAATTATACTAAATAGTTTATAATAATAGATTTAAGGACTATAACTTTACATTACATTTAAAATGATCTGTATAGGTACAATACCTTAAACAAGAGTAAAAACATATATACAGTATGTTAAAACAAATAACCTTAAATTTGTATCAATATACAAAAATCTATACCAATGTAAAATACTTGAGATTAATAGTTTCATTTTAGTTCAAGAATAGATTCAATAGCCTACCCTTCTTTATTCCCCCCTTTTTTATGTTTTTAGAAAGAGATCCCCGGCCAGGCAGTGGTGGCACATGCCTTTAATCCCAGCACTCAGGAGGTGGAGGCAGGTAGATCTCTGAGTTTGAGACCTATCTGGTCTACAAAGTGAGTTCTATGACAGCAAGAACTAAACAAAACCCTGTCTTGAAAAACCAAAAATAAATAAATAAATGAATGAAAAAAAAAAGAAAGAGATCCCTGAATCTAACCATCTAGCCTCTTTTGTTTAGTTTCCTCTCTGACCATAACTAATAATAACTTGCAACCAGCCTCCCTAAATGATGATAAATATCCATAACTCACCAAATGACCAAAAACTGCCCATCCCACCTCTTGGGAATGTAGGCATCATTTTCTCAAAATTAATTTTTCTTGTCTAGGGGCAACAACAACCTTAAGGCAACCCGGAGAAAATTGAGATAATGGTCAAGTCCTGGGAGAGCTACCTGTTGTCCAGTCTTGGTGGGATGGGAAAGTACAAAGCTTATCTGAAGTTCAGGCTGGAGTAGTCTGTGAGGCTTGATCATCTTAGCTAACTACTTTGAAGTTGTTTTGGATGTAGATTTTTGAGGAAACTGAAACAGAGGCATTCTGAGAGGCTGTATTACCTGGGTCACTTGTCTTCTTTAGTGTCTGGTCCTTTTGTTTTGAAAACACACACACTTTGAAAGGAAACATACATGTCTACATTAACACAAGTATGGAATGTGCGATGTACACAAGTCAGCTAAAGATGATTCTCTGCTCTATGTTTAAGCAGGTGAAAGGCATCTGTCAACTTTATAAGTCCGTTTGGATTGCATAAGCAAACTGTAATATAAATCTCCATCCATGCCATATGACAGGATGGCAGGTAATAATAAGTCATGAGGACTTTGCAACTAACAAGTTATATCATGTCTCATCCAGTCTCAGGGCTGTTGCCATGTCGAGGGATCAGCTTATATGTCACCTGTCTTACAGTGTTGCTTGTTTGTTGTTGTTGTTCTTGTTTTGGTTTGGTTTGGTTTCTTTATGTCAGTAGCCAAGATTTTCAGGAGGTCTCTCCCAATCAAATCTGGTATTTATTAATTTTGAAAGAATCCATAGCTCTTTGTTTCCTGTGGAAACAAAGGCATAACCTCTTCCCTAATGCAACACATGTCCTGACTTTCATTCTGAAGTTAAGACATCCTTAAAAGATATAGGCTGGTTTAATTCAGTAGGGTTGTTTTGTTTTTGTTTTTTTTGTTGTTGTTGTTTTTTTACAATTTAACATCTCTCAGCAGCTACTGGTTTTTGCTCATTAGTATTTAAAGTCAACAAAACAACATACAGGATCCAGAGACAACCTGTGTATTTCTTATCCTTACGTGGCTTATTTTTTTTATATTACTTTCTTTTTCCTTAAAGACTTTATTTTTATTTTATTTTATTTGGTTTTTCAAGACAGGATTTATCTGTGTAGCTTTGGTGCCTGTCCTGGATTCCACTATATAGACCAGGCTGACCACAAACTCACAGAGATCCGCCTGGCTCTGCCTCCTGAGTGCTGAGATTAAAGACAAGCACCACCACTGCCCAGCAAGACTTTATTATTTTTATGCTATTTATTTTATTTTATTATTTATCATTGTCTATACTCATTTTTTTTAGCACCTAAACATATTTTTGAAGCATACTCTAGTTATTCAGAGTTTTTTGTGGCCTGGACAAGGCCTTTTTTTTTTCTGCATCTGCATCATTTTTCTGACCATGTGAGCCAAATCTTAAATGGCTAGGTGTCAGCTAGGCTATCCACTTCATGGTTCCACTTAGCACATGGTGCTGACGGTTGGCTCTGCCCCCTTCAGGTCCATGAGATCTGAACCTTATTCCTGTGGGTACATCCCACGGGTACTGGCCAGGAGTCACATTTACTTGCCCCAATTCTGGGAAGCTGCTAGGTTCATGCTGAGGCAGGTGTTAGTATCCAGTCTCCCATTCTATCTAGTAGTGAACTAGTTATTCAAGCACTAGACTGTACACCAGGACCTCTTAAAGGAGCCACACCTCTGTACACTGTGAGCACTGAGCCTGACAGGAAGCCACATCCAGCTCCATGTCTGAAACTTTTTTTTCCAGCTTTCTCAGGCCCTTTGTGGATTTATGTGCCCCACGCTGGGCGCTAAATTGGCAATTTTTTGTCAGACTCTTTTTGGGACAGCCAGCTCCCCAGTAATAACATGGAGACTTAATATTATTAATTATTAGAGCTTGGTGTCTTAGTTTGGAATTTTTATTGCTGTGAAGAGACACCATGACCATGGCAACTCTTATAAAGAAAACATTTATTTGAGGTGGTGGCTTACAGTTTCAGAGGTTCCGTCCATTACACACAATGGGGAGCATGGCAGTATGCAGGCAGATGTGGTGCTGGAGCTGAGAGTCCTACATCTTGACTCTGAGGCAACAGGAAGTCGACAAACTGTCACTGAGTGAAGCTTGAGAAAAAGATCTCAAAGCCTGCCCCCACAGTGACATACTTCCGCCAACAAAACCATGATGACTCCAACAAGGCCACAACTCCTGATAGTGGCACTCCCCTTGGGGGTCATTTTCCTTTCAAACCACCACACTTGGCCTTTAGCTTAGGCTTGTTCCCAACTAGCTCTTATAACTTAACTAACCTGTTTCTATTAATCTACTTTCTGCCACATGGCTTTTTACCTCTCTTCCATTCTGCATGTCCAATTCCCTCTGTGTCTAGCTGGCATCTCCCCCATGCCTAGAGTCTAACCCATCTGAGTTCCTCTCTCTGCCCACAAGTCCCACCTAACCTCTCCTGCCTAGCTATTGGCCATTCAGCTTTTTATTAAATCAAGGACAGTGACACATCTTCACACAGTGTAAACAAATACCCCACAACAGACATCCATTTAACCCATCTCTCACATCAACTCAGAGTTACCCACTTTCCATCTTTTGTTTGTTAGTTTTTTAGATGAAATGTTCCTTAGGAATGAAAGACACTCCAGGATCAAGGAAATTAGGATCAGAGAGTCACCAACAATTAACAAAACAAAGGAAATTCCTTACGTTTATAAACTTTCAAGGAGAGGGATGCCTGGCTAGAAGGGATGGGTCTGTGAGCTTATTCAGTAGTGGAAGTACTAGATAGGTTATGAGGCCATAATTTAGGAAATAAATCCTATTGTTCCACCCTACCTTGGAGCTGCTACATGCTAGGAACAGCTTAGGGAAAGTTCTAGATAGGATATAAGCTATGGCTGATTTATGGAGCTCCAACTCCATTTCTGACATCCTCCTCCTTTGACCTCTGAGGGTACCAAGCATGCATGTGATACACATAAACACACACACACACACAAATAAATCTACAAGAGCTGACCTCGTCTAAGAGTTGAGGTGTGTTGTCTTTACAATCCACAAACTATTTTTCTGTTTATCTGTTTGTTTTTTGTTGTTGTTGTTTGCTTGTTTGTTTGTTTGTTCTCTTTTTTGAGACAGGATCTCTCTATGAAGTCCTGCTGTTCTGGAACTCGATCTGTAGACCAGGCTGGCCTCAAACTCAAGAGATCCTCCTGCCTCTGCTTCCTGAGTGCTGGAAATAAAGGCATGCACCACCACAGTGGCACATGAACCGGTTTTATCTGGGAAAAAATGAACTGAGACCTGAGAGTTTAGTGGCAACTGGGACAACAAAGAGGAATAGGTGGGTTCTGACTACTGAGACTGGAGGAGATAGGGAGTTGAAGTTTTTAAGTAGAGTTAGGGTCTCAGGGTTTCACACATGTCCTTCCCATGTTCAGTGGAGGGACTCTTAGACAGATTACAGGTGAAAAATCCCGTAGTCATGCTGGCAATTCACAGCAGGAGCACCTATGGTGGATGATCCAAACAGTAACCCCGGGTTCTATATCTGACCCCCACCTCCCACTACCCCCATAAAAAATGAAGTGTGCAGTAGAAAAATGTACAACCTTAATCAACAGACATTTATTGAGCTCCTGGTGTGTGTTAAGCACCAAGGCAGAACACACAGAGATAGTAGATTGGATTGCAGCCCACAAGGAACTTCTAGATGCCCTCAGAAAAGAAGTGGTAGACAGAGTTATCAATCAATCATAGGCCTTCCCCCTCTGTGGTTTCAGGAAATGGAAGGGTCCAGAAAGAGACACCTTAGATGATATCTAAGACTTAGACTCACATGTTCCATGTGTATAAGACATGTGTAGAACCCACACAACTATAGATGTGTGTATAAGACAAAACTGCATATGTGTTGCACATGCACAGCCTTTCATGTGCAGAGTCAGAGTCCATGTGTTCACAGGACACATGGATATGGCACAAGAACTCCATCTGCCCCAGCCACGGCAAAGGGGTAGGGATGGATGGTCTTGGGACAGCAAGGCCCTGTCAAGGCTGGGGCTGGTACTGGCCCTCCGTGGCTGTGAAGAAGTCATCCAGAACACTTCGAAGGTAGTCAAACGTGGGTCGGTCCTCTGGACGCTCCTTCCAGCACAGCATCATGAGATGGTACAGCTCTTCTGGACAGTTGTCAGGTCTTACCATTCGGTAGCCTCGCTCCAGATTCTGAATCACTTCAGGGTTGGTCATCCCTGAAGGTCGATGGAAGGAAGAACATCAAGACTTTAACCTTTGGAAACCTAAAAGCAAGGCTGATGCTGAATGGGATTTCTCTCTCTCTTTCCTATCTTCCTTTTTTTTTTTTAAGATTTATTTTATTATGTATACAGTGTTCTGTCTGCAGGCCAGAAGAGGGCACCAGATCTCATTACAGATGGTTGTGAGCAACCACGTGGTTGCTGGGAATTGAACTCAGGACCTCTGGAAGAGCAGCCAGTGCTCTTAACCTCTGAGCCATCTCTCCAGCCCTGTGGTTGTTCTCTTGAGGGACATGCTAATACCATGATTCTCCTTTTCCTCTCTTTACTTCCTGCTATGATAGATAGAAAGAAAGAAAGATGGTTGTTAGGAGGATAGACAGGAAAGAGAGAAATCCATAGCGTATGAGGTGAGCGGTTGACTACACCATGTGCCTTCACCAGATCTGCTCCCCCCAAAAATCAGTGAAATAGAATCTCTGAAACTGTAAAAACCTAAGTGAGTCGTTTGCACCCTCCCCTCCTCTTCAAGATTGTCTTACTATGTACCCCTGGCTGGTCTGAAACTCATTATATAGACCAGCCTGGCTTCAAAGAAAGATCTGCCTGTGTCAGCCTCTCAAATTCTGGGATTAAAGGATGTACCACCATGCCCAGCAAACTTCCTTATTTAAAAAAAATAATTTTTTTTTGTTTGTTTATCAGATAAAATTTCTCTGTGTAGCCCTGACTGTCCTGAAACTCAATCTGCAGACCAGGATAGCCTTGAAATTCATAGGGATCTACCTGCCTTTACATCCTGAGTGTTGGGATAAAGTGACACCACTGCCCAGCTTAAAAATATTTTATTAATTTAAATATTATTAATTTTGTGTATTATGTGTGTGGGCCAACACATGGACCAAAGTCCCTGTGTGAAGGTCAGAGAACAATTTTTTTCTTCAGTTTTTCGAGAGAGGGCATGTCTGTGTAGCCTTGGCTGTCCTGGTACTTACTATTTAGACCAGGCTGGCTTTGAACTCAGAGATCTGCCTTCTTCTGCCTCCCAAGTGCTGGGATTAAAGGCATACACCACTATGGTCAGCTTAAATTTTGTATTTTTATGTAAGTGTTTTACATGTCTATATATCACATGTATGCAGTGCCCAAGGAAGCCAGAAGAGGGTACTGAATTCCTTGGAACTGGAGTTACAGGCAGTTGTGAGCTGCTATGTGGTTGTTGACTGAACCCAGGTCCTCTGGAAGAGCAGCCAGTGTTCTTCACTACTGAGCCATTCCCCCCATCCCTGAGAGAAAAACTTTTTTGTTTTGTTTTGTTTTTCGAGAGAGGAGGGTTGTTATGGAATATTTGTTTATGCTGCATGAAGACGTGCCACAGAAAAGTCTGTCAGAAATTCTACTCTTGTAGGCTGAAGATGGATGCCCCAATGTTGCAGAGGAACCTTGGGGTGACTGTCCAGGCAGCCAGATGTCTCTGCCATTTGTATAGTTTTGGAAGTTGCTTGCTCTGCACTTCCTGTTTACTTAGACAATATTATATCCTTCTCAGGTCTCTGATGGGGTTGAAGAATAGATAGTTATAGTTTTACAGTTTTCCTTATCACATTCAGAAAAGAAACTTACAAAAGAGATGTAAAGTTTATAAAGGGTGAGAAACATAGAGGCTTAACTTGTTTATCTAAGAAAATGTTTTAAGGTCTACAAAGATATTTTTAGGTTGGTAGTACAAGTTATGATAGAAAGTGGTTTAGGTATAAAACTTTGGACTCATCAAGATAGGGTAGATAATAGAGTAATTTCTCCAAATTTGCCAAATACAAATGGACTGGACATTGTGAATATAATCTTCACTTGATAAACATTCTTTTTTGTTTGTTTGTTTCAAGGCAGGGTTTCTCTGTGTAGCTTTGGATCCTGTCCTGGACCTCACTCTGTAGACCAGGCTGGCCTCAAACTCACAGAGATCTGCCTGCTTCTGCCTCCCAAGTGCTGGGATTAAATGCATGTACCACCACTGCCCAGCCTTGATAATTGTTCTTATTGTACATAGTTTTATTATGTTAGAGTTAAAACCTTTCCTTTTTATTTAGACAAAAAGGGGGAAATGTTGCGGGATATTTGTTTACACTATGTGAAGATGTGTCTATGTTTTGCCTCACCTGCCTAAGGTACCTGATTGGTTTAATAAAGAGCTGAATGGCCAATAGTTAGGCAAGAAAAAATAGGTGGGATTTCCAGGGAGAGAGAGGAACTCTGGGAGTGGGATTTGCCAGCCAGACACTGAGGAAGTTGGACATACAGAATGGAGGAGAGGTAAGAGTCAGGTGACAGAACATAGATTAACAGAAACAGGTTAATTTAAGTTATAAGACCTAGTTGGGAACAAGCCTAAGCTAAAGGCCAAGTTTTCATAATTAATAAGTCTCTGTGTCATTGTTTGGGGGCTGGTGGTCCAAAGAAAGTCCGACAAGAAAGCCCAACTACACAGGGTTTCTCTGTATGGTCCTGGCTGTCTTGGAACTCTCTCTGTAGACCAGGCTGGCCTTGAACTCAGAGATTCACCTGCCTCTTTCTCCCGAGTGCTGGGATCAAAGGCGTGTGCCACCAGCACCCAGCACAGATAACAACTTTGAAGAGTGGGTTCTCTCCTTGCACCTTTACATGGATTCCAGGGATGGACCTTAAGTTGTCAGGCTTGCTCAGCACATGTTTCTACCCTCTGAAGAATCTCCCTGAATCTCCAACTTTCTTCTTTGTAAGTTGACCATCTCAGGAGATTTTCGTTGTTTTTGTTTTCAGTGACAGAAAGCTGACAGACACAAGTGATGTTCCGAATATGTAACTACCTATCCAAAGTGGGACCGGTCTTCATGACGTCAGAGCACACTGGCGTGTGCTGCTGAAAGTCGATCCCACGCTTAGAGCGCTGATACAGTTACACCCTCAGTAACACATACATCAGCTGCAGGACCTTGACTGCGCCACCTCTTTGAACCTCAGCGTCCTCATCCAGAATATAGAGAAAATCCCCATTCCTCCTCACTGAACTGTGAGGAGGACCGAATGAATCAGTGCATATAAAACAAGCACAGTTGTCTGGAGATGCTTATTTTGTGATGTGTCCCAGGGGTGTTCTTTAGTGGCCACAATCAGGCAGTCAGGGCTCAGGACAGGATGAGAACCCACAGCCAGGCAGTGTTGAGGTGTCTCTAGCGCTGAGACTAGGCACAGAGACACGGTATCCGGGCAGGAGATGAGTACTGGGCCATGAGATAGGACAAGCCCAGAGTTGGGAGATCTTTGCCTCTAACAGGGTCTAACCCGCTTGGAAGTGCCTTTATGTTCCTGGGATCAAATTTCAGCTCACACTGCCTGGGCCTGTGGGAGTTTCTGCCGACCTGGCCTTTGTGCTCCATAACTCCCTACACTTTTCTGTACCATTGCCTTTTCCCAGAGGTTACCAAGTTCGATTTAGGAAATGTCCACCCCTAGGCCTCGAAGGATAGCTCAGTGACAGTGCACCTGCCTTGAATACACAGGACCTGGGTTTGATCCCGAGTCCCTCCAATACCAGGCACATAGGTGCACGCCTGTAAACCTAGTACCTCCCAGTGAGGGGGAAGCAGAAAAATCCAGAGCGCAAGGGGCATCTTCAGATTCATAGAGTTAGATGGCCAGCCTGGACTACATGAGACATTGTCTCAAAAAACAAAAACAAAACAAAATAAAACTCCAATGACTAAAAAAGAAATTTTCAATAAAATCCTACCCGTCTTGGTTGAATGTGGGGTAAGGGCCTTTTCCAGGTGGAGGGCATGTCTACCTGGTTTCTCTCTTTAGCTGTGAAGTTTCAGCAGGAAAGGACCAGTGCCTAGTGAGCAGTGTCAATGAGTCAGACTGCTTCTCAAAGTCTCTTGTGTCACATATCAGGAAACTGAGGCTCAGAGGGATGACATCACTTACCCAGAGTGCTGTGGAATGTTATTTTAACCATGTAAAGATGGGTTACATTTGTTTATGCTACGGAATATTACTTTAACTATGTGAAGGTGTGTTTCATTTGTGTGTGCTGCATTTGTTTAACTATGTAAAGATTTGCTGCGTTTGTTTCATCTGGCCTGCCTGAGGCACCTGATTGGTCTAATAAAAAGCTGAATGGCCAATAGCGAGGCAGGAGGGATAGGAGGGGCTGGTGGGCAGAGAACAACTAAGTAGGAGGAGAGATCTTGAATGAGGGAGAAGCAGAGAATGAGGGAGAGAGGGACATGCCCAGGGCCAGAAGCCAGGCAGCCACCAGACAGACAGACACAGAGGAATCAGGAAAGTAAGACACATAAAAGAAAGAAAGGTAAAAAGCCTGAGGCAAAAGGTCGATAAAGAGAAACAGTTTAGTTTAAGTTAAAAGCGTTAGCCAGAAACGAATCTAAGCTAGGCTAAGCATTTATAACTAACAAAAAGTCTCCCTGTCATGATTTGGGAGCTGGTTGGTGGCCCAAAAGAAAGCCTGGTACATCGGAGTGATGATTAGTAGTGGCTTAGTGTGGCCTAAGCACTGTTCTGATCTCATATTTAAGACACAGGTGGCCGGGCAGTGATGGCGCACGCCTTTGATCCCAGCACCGGGGACCAAGAGGCAGGTGGATCTCTGTGAGTTCGAGGTCAGTCTGGTCTACAGAGTGAGTTCCAGGACAACCATGACTAAGTAAGTAACTCTGTCCAAGAAAAGAAAGAGAGAGAGAGAGAGAGAGAGAGAGAGAGAGAGAGAGAGAGAGAGAAGGAAGGAAGGAAGGAAGGAAGGAAGGAAGGAAGGAAGGAAGGAAGGAAGGAAGGAAGGAAGGAGGGAGGGAAGGAAGGAGGGAAGGAAGGATCTGGTAAAAGTCAACAGAAATCAACCGAGGCCCAACTGGTAAGACAAGGCATGTTTTACACTCTGAGCGAGATCCACTGCTGTCACACTGGGTGGCCTTTGCCAGAACTGAGCGAGGAGCTGGAGTTTCTGAGAGGTGGGGTCTCAGAGACAGAAATGGAAGCCAGTGCTGGGAAACAAGGCATCTAATAGGGGATTCTGGAGTTAGAAGTCCAAGTGGATAGAAGAGAAGCAATCAGGTTCGGAGTCTGAGCCTGGGAAGATGTGAGTGGGAAGACATGGATTTGCTACCCTTCCCTGTAGCCCTTAGAGTTCCTTCCCTTAACACTCACCTGGGTAAGGGATTCGGCCATGGGTGACAATCTCTGTCAGCAGGATCCCGAAAGACCACACATCTGACTTGATGGTGAAGGTCCCATAGTTAATGGCTTCCGGTGCTGTCCATTTAATGGGAAATTTGGCCCCTAGAGGGAGGCAAAGTTAGGTCACCTGTGTGTGTTTTTTCCCCTGCAGGCTCTGAACCCCCTCTTTATCCGGCACCTACCCTCCCTGGCTGTGTATTCATTGTCCTCGATGAGGCGAGCCAGGCCAAAGTCTGCAATCTTGCAGCTCAGTGTGTCGGACACCAGGATGTTGGCAGCACGCAGGTCACGATGGATGTAATTCTGCTCTTCAATGAATGCCATGCCCTCCGCAATCTGCAGGCCAGGAATAGGTCATCAGTCTTTACCGAACTGACCTGTAGCCAAACCCAGCCCTTTGCCATTCTCCTTACCTGGGCTGCCATGTCCAAAAGTTTGTTGATGTTCAACTTGATGCCCGAGGGAGTCTTGAGAAAATCTACAAGGCTTCCTGTGAGCAAAAGCAAGAACTGGTGACCTAAATTGCCCAGGAGGAAGCTCCTAGACCCTTCTACTCCATCTATAGGACTGAGAAAGAGTATGTACCCAAGTGTGGGGGCGGGACGCTCAGCCTATGGGAAGGCCTTTTCCAGAGAGCTAGGATGGGGTCTGGGTGGAGCATCCAAAGGCTTCCTGCCCTCAGTTAAGGTAGAGCCCCTGTTCCACAGCAGCCAGTTCCCTGCATGCTTCACGCCTGTATCTTCTCCTATAGACATGTCTTTCTCGCTCTATCACAGACCATTTTTAGAGCCTTTACACGGGTATCTAGACTCCTTAGTCTCTTTGCTTCATCTTTTGTCTCCTAAAAGTTTCTCCTTTTCTTTTCCAGACCAGCTGGACCGCTCTTCTAGGCTCTTCCTACCAGGCATCGTAAATTGTTTTACCATTTACATCCCCGGGGTATTTAGGAACGTCCCCAAGTCACAAACTCTGCTTTTCTCAGGTCCATTATCGAAATGGGGTTTCAGCTGGGTATGATGGCACACATCTTTAATCCAGCACCCAAGACACAGAGGCAGGAGGACCTCGGCAAGTTTAAAGTCAGCCTGGTCTATGTAATCTAGGCCAGCCAATGCTGCATAGTAAGACTGTCTCCAAAACCAAAAAGTAAATTAATAAAAACAAAACCCTGTACAAGAATGACAATCCTGGGGCTGGACAGTCGGCTCATGGTCTTAGGAATGCTTGCTTTTCCAGAAGACCCAGGTTCAGTTTCCAGCACCCATGTCATGTGACCACCTGTCACTACAGCTCCAGGGTCTGTGATGCTCTCTTCTGGCCTCCCCAGGCACTGGAATACATGTATACACACACACACACACACACACACACACACACACACACACACACACACACACTAATAAAAAAGAAATTACTGCCAGTTGGTGGCAGTGTACACCTTTAACCCCAGTACTTGGGAGGCAGAGGTAGGCGGATCGCTGAGTTTGAAGCCAGCCCCATCTACAGAGAGAGCCCCAGGGCAGAGAAACCATGTCTCAAAAAAAGAGAGAGAAAAAGAAACTACCAATGACAAAACCTATTTGCCATTTCCAGAACTCATTAGCCAATGAACAGTTTGTTTCCCTTCCTGAAAGATGGACAGATTTTGCACTCCAAACAATCTGAACCACATAAAAACAACACAGGACAGGTACTGCTTTCTTCCATCCTTTAGTGCGCCACTACCCTTGAATTACATGTATCTATTCATAGGCAGCGGCGCATGCATGTGCAATCCATGGAGATCAGAGGACAACTTGCAGGAGTCAGCTCTTTACCTCTATTATGTGGATTCCAGGATTGAACTTCTGTTTGCACGTCTTGGCAGCAAGCACCTTTACCTGCTGCCCCATCTTGCTGACCCTAACACTATTTTACAGATCAAAGAGAACTACTTGAAGCAGAAAGAAGTGATGTGATCAGCCCAAAGCGATACAATTACAAAGCACCAACTCTATCCAGGCAGTCAGACTCTTGGATCCTTAGTAAATATACTATATATTGGGGCTAGAAAGATGGCTCAGCGGTTAAGAGCACTGGCTGCTCTTCCACAGGACCTGGGTTTAATCCCCAGCAACCACACAGTGGCTCACAACCATCTGTATTCCAGTTCCATGGTATCCCACACCCTCTTCTGTCCTCTTCAGGTACCAGGCACCATATACTATTTCTTGGATCAAGCATTCTGGGATCCAGGTAGGCGTTGGAAGAAGGCAAAAGAAACTGCAGATCAAAGGAGATCAGAATGAATGCTCTTCCAAAGTCTGTCCCATAGGGGCCCTGGAAAGTTTCCTTGGAAACCCTCAGTAGCAGGGCAGAGGAAAAAGCACATTCCTACCCTGAGTGCAAAAGACAGTGAGACGACAATAGCATCCTCACGCGACTAGACATAGAAGGGACACCCACCGTTCTCCATGTATTCAGTGATGATGTAGATGGGCTCCTGGGTGACCACTGCATAAAGCCGGACCAGCCGCTGGTGCTGCAGCTGCTTCATGAGGTTAGCTTCAGCCAGGAAGGCATCGGGCGACATGCTCCCCTGCTTCAGGCTCTTCACGGCCACCTTGGTGTGCCCGTTGTAGTATCCTGGAGGTGGGTTGCGGGTGAAGGAGTTGCAGAGATCATGATCCTCAACTAAGTCAGCTGCCCTGAATAGGCCAGTGTCTCACATCTTGGAGACATCTCCTCTCTTTCCAATCAGTCCTGAGGGCCACACTCACCCATCCACACTTCTCCGAACTGGCCAGCTCCCAGCCGCTCAACCAACTTCAGTGTCTCCCTGGGAACCTCCCATTCGTCCTCCCACCATGGCTTCTGGGGCTTCTGGGTCTGGCAAGGTCGGCTCAACTTTGTGCACAGCCCATCAGAAGCGTCTGCAAAGACAAAGGAGAGGGTAAGGCATTCACTGCTGGAGACCGTGGGTGCTCCCTCCAGCCCCCACCTCTCTCCACGTTCCACGCAGGGGAAATGGACTGGCATGGAGGGGAGTCTGTCACCCAACATTAGCTTGCAGGGTCGAGGGTCAGGTACTACCGACCGACGGTTGGAGGGTCCCTAGGAAGGACTGGGGGGGAGATAGGCCGCTAGGGTGGGCACAGGTGAGAGCGTTCTGCCAGAGCTCACTGGTGTAATGGCGGACCAGTTCGTGTAGTCCGGGAAAAGTGATACGAGGGGAGATGTAGAAGCCACCGTTGTCTAGGTTACGGATCTTGTAATGTTTCACCACTTCTCCCTGGTTCTGGTCGAAGTCTCTGACCGACAGGGAAAAAGATCCTGAAAAACGATTGGAGAGGGGAGGAAGGAGAAGAGGAGGAGGTGAGAAGTTAAAGAGGAAAAAAGAGGGGGGTGGGTGGGGAGATTGCCTTCGGTAAATCAGGTGGCCACCGCACAGCTTCCTACAGCTCTCCACCCCCCACCCCTCCTCACCGGAGGCCGCAGCCCACAACTCGGAGCCCCGCCCACACGCCGAAGCCCCGCCCACCAGGCTCGGACTCTCACCCGCCGTGCTTTCACTTTCCCGGATCAGGAAGGATCCGTGCGTGTTCCCGGGCGCCAAAAGCTGCCGCTCCGCGTCCTTACGGCTCAGATTCTTGAAGAACCAGCTACATAGGGCAGAAGCAAGACCTTTGGCTGTTGGTTGACTTTTTTTTTTTTTTTTTAAATCTGTGTAACCCTGGCTGACCTCGAACTCAAAGATCTGCCTGCCCCTGCCTCCGGAGTGGTGGCCTTAATGGCCAGTTCTTCCTCCATCACTGTCAACATCCTCCACCCCCATGACCACGCCCAGCTCTGAGATCCCTAGATGTCTTCCCCTATCCCCATGCAGTCCCCTGCTCACGGTTCAGGCTCCAGGCTGTTTGCTTTCGCCACGAAGTTGAAAGGGATGAAGCCTTCTTGGCCGGTGGTCAGAGACTGAGCCTTCCACCACTCACCGCTCCTGTGTGTGCCACAGAGACCATCAGCGTGGTCTACATAGCCGCTGGAATCCCTCAGAGTTCTCGGGTAGGCCAAGCACTCTGGTGCTTCACACACACACACACACACACACACACACACACACACACACACACACACGGCAAGGTGGGTTAGAGGGATACTCACTGCTCCAGGATTCGGAGCTGTTCACCCTTCTCAAAGCCCAGGTCTCCATCATGGGAGGGCTCATAGCTGTGCAGGGCGATAACCAGGTTGTCTGTAAAGACAGGAAGAGTCAAGAAGAACCAGCCCGGGGCTGACAGGAACAGTGGAGATCTAGAGGCGCAGGGCAGGCTGCCGACAAGGTGGAGGGTAGGTGGAGAGGGTTTGGACACCATCAGCCAAGCATACACAGGCTTTATGCTTCACACCCTGCTAGATGGAGTCACCTTGTAGTGGAGAGGCTGGTGGGATGGAGCCCTCATAGGTGACCAGTGGGTCCCGAACTTCAGAGCCATTCCGGATGGGCAGCTGTGGGGTAGGAAATAAGGCTGGGGTCATTTTCTCTGACCCTGGTTCCCTTCCTCTCTCCTCGCTCTCCATTTTTCCAGCCTGACTGGACCTTCTCTTTGGATTCACCAATTATGTGTGCACTTGACCTTAGGAAAGTCTGTTCTCTCCAGACCTCTTCCTTACTGTACTCCAGGGAAGATGGGTGTGCTGTTACTTCCAGGGCCTATAGTTGTGATCATTTATTTTTTTTTCTCTAAAGCCTGCCTTCACCATCCCTTCCCCCATCCCATCTTACCGTAGTCTTGCTATCCAGTGGTACTATGGGATAATGGCAGTTTTCACACACATCAATGTTCTCCATCCAGTCATCTTCAGGGTTTGAGCTGCAGCCACAGCCCATGATCCCTGAAGGAATGGAGAGAGGCTTGAAGGAGCTCCCCTAAGTCGGTTCTCCCAACATCAGACATCCTAGAGCACTGCCCTGGAGTTTACAGAACGCCTTAGATCGTCTGCTCTGGGGCTCCCATGGCCATGTACAGAAGAGCTGAAATGTGGAATTTCAGCTCCTGACTCTTTCACTCTGAGCCCTCAAGCAACCAGTTAAGTTCACGGGAGGCCCAGGCCCAAGGCTGGTTCCCACCCTCCCACCTGGGATGGGTAAACCGCCACAGGCACTTTGTTAGTGTAGTTACCCACTTCCTGCCTCCTCAGCCCGCTGGTCCCCCCCCTTTGGGGGATTACCTGGAAGATATCACACACATTTTGCCAAGCCCTGGGGGAAACCTAAATTTTGATTCCACCCTCCTCGCCAAGGAGGGTTCATGTCCCTTCTAATTACAACTCCCCTGCCTGGATACTGAAACTGAGAGGCTCCTGTTCCTTAGAGTCAACCTTTGACCTCTGCGGCCCCCAGCACCCCACCCCCACTCACAGCACAGGCTCCTTCAGAGGGTTTCTTCTAACATGCTTTTACTTCTCACCAGCAGAAGGAAACCCTTCAGTGGCCCTGTTGCCTGTAACAACTTTTGCTTGCCTGTCTGTCTGAGCTGTGGAAACTTTTTGTCGAATGAAATCAAGCAGGACCTCATAGATACAGCAAGTAAAGTAGAACTGTTCTTAATCAAGTCAGAGTGGGCCTCCCTCCGGAGCCTCTGGAATCCACGTGGACCTCCTTCCCTGAAGCTGTTCCTCAGAACTGCTTGGAAAGCATTGGTCCTCAAAGAAAGATTTACCATGAGGAGGAAATTTAAATGGCTTTTTTCTTTTTAAAGATAAGGTCTTACTTATGTAGCTGTGGCTGGTCTGGAGGCCTGGAACTCACTATGTAGACCACTGTAGACAAGGCTGGCCTCAAGTTTGCAGAGATCTGCCTGCCTCTGAGTGCTGGGGATTAATAAAGGTGTAGAATATCATGCTTTTGACCACTTTGATTGATATTAAGGAAGACCTACTCTTTCAGGATTTTTTTGTTTTTGTTTTTTGTTTTTTTAAGTCTTTCAGCCTCCCTCCCTCCCCCAAGACAGGGTTTCACTGTGTAACAGCTCTGGCTGTCCTAGAACTTCCTTTGTAGACCAGGCTGGCCTCAAACTCACCGAGATCCACTTGCCTCTGCCACACAAGTGCTGGATTAAAGGAATGTGCCCCATCGCCCGGCACAGTCTTTTACTCTATTGTGCTACACACGCGTATACACACACACACACACACACACACACACACACACACACACACACGAACCCAAATACTCACATAACTTATACTTTGAGCTACATTGCCTTCTCCAAACACCCACCATTATTTTCTTAGACCACACCTTTGTATTTATGACTCTCTCTCTCTCTCTTTCTTCGTCTTTTTCTTTGTGTCATATTGTGATCTGTGTGTCAGAACTAATGCCTCTCTCATCTCCCCCTCCTATAGAAAAGGTTTTATTTTCATTAATATTTGCATGTCCCTCCATGTGTGTATGCACACACACGTGTGTGGGTGCCCATGGAGGCCTTGGGATCCCCTAGAATTGAAGTGACAGCCTGTCGAGCTCAGAGCTCCAGTCCAGTGACCGAGCGGCAAACACTATCAACAGCTGAGCCGCCATCTCTCCAGCTCCCCACTACCCCCTTGATGGACAGCGGTGCATCAGGAACAGAAGCTGTGTGTCCCCTGCCTGACAGCCGCCCGCACCTAGCATCGGGGATGTGGGGCTAAGCACAGATTCTCTCACCTGCCGAGGTCTTCAAAACCATCAGATCTAACCCCCGGTTTTATTTATGTATGTGTTTATTTTTCGGACAGGGTCTCACAGCACTGCCCAGGCTGGCCTGGAACTCTTGGCTTCAGCTGGTCCTTCTGCTGAGCATCTTGAGTTTTGGGGCACACGCTGTCATACACAGCTTTGACATCTGATTTTAGACGAAAGCAAGCCCCGGAGAGGCCTGCCTAAAGCCACACATCTGCGGCTGAGCAAAACAAGACTTGCTAATTTATGCTGTGTCCAAGTGGATGTGGGAGCAGGGGAGGTTCCTGGTTAGCAGAATGCAGAAGAAAGACTCCAAACTCCGAAAGGCCTATGTTCAAATAGTAGCTGTGCTCTAGACATAGTCATGCTGGTCTATGATCCTGGTACTTGGAAGGTCGAGAGGCAGGAGGATCAGAAGTTCAAGGTAGTTCCTCTCTACATAGAGTTCGAGACCAGCCTGGGTTCCATGAAATCCTGTCTCAGAAACAAAACAAACGAAGGACAAAAGCCTGAAACAGATACAGTAAGATAACACTGGTGTGCCTGACTGTGTTGAAGCTGTTCTTGGAAGCCTTGCTTTTCCTCATCTGCCACTGAGGCTTGTCATCCCTAACTCATCACCCTACATACTGTTAGCTTAGTTTACTAGAGCTTGGAAAGGCGCCTACCAACACCCTTTCAGCTTACCATCCCTGCCTGGGAGACTGGGGAAATGGGACTGGAGAATCACCCTCTTCAGGCTGATGTTTCTTCAGCTGAGCTACTGTTAGCCTCCCACAGATACCGGAACTCACAAGGTGCATCTTCCTGTGTGTGTAAACAACGTGTGCCTATGATGGAGGAATCATAAAACATCCATGGAACATTAAGCTAAATCCAGAGCCTCCAGAAGGCTTGTGGATATAGTTCGGTGGGCAGCGCTTTCCCTATCAAACAATGAGGTTCAGTCGCCAGCACTGAATAAACTCAGGCCCGATGAGGGGTACACGCCTGTAGTTCAAGCACTGGGGTGGAGTCAGAAGGATCAGGAGTTCAAGGTTAGCTTGGGATACAAGAGACCCTACCTCAGAAACTACACAGAGAGACTCAAGAAACAAGTATACAAACCCATCGCCCTTCCTTCAACCCCGTTGCTGGGAGGCCATGTGGCAGGTGAAGTTTGCTCTGCCAGAGTCGACTCATCACGGCTACAAGTGATGTCTTGTCAGCTCAGTTATTTCATGGTCAGAAACACAGTAGGAACTCCCGGAAAAGGAGTGGGGAGTGAGTGAGCACCCTGTTCGTGATTCACATAGGCCTGGGGCAAACAGGTTGGTTAAGCTGTACCCACAGCGCTCACACCAGAAGGACTGTGCACTTGGAGCAGTACGGTGGGTGCCTCTCAGGCTTGACATTTTTGGAGGCCTTGGGAAAAGGCAGGAGAGACTGGGTGTGATGGTGCCTGTCTTTAATCCCAGCTCAAAGTGCTGAGGCAAATGCAGATTTCTGCTAGGTCGAAGTTAACCTGATCTACATAGTGAGTTCCAATCCAGTCAAGGGTACATGGTGAGGTAGACACTGTGTCTCAAAGGGGGGGAAACAAGAGGAAAGTCTGGGATTAAGAAGAGTGATACAAAGCCAGGCGGTGGTGGCGCCTTTAATCCCAGCCCTCAGGAGGCAGAGGCAGGCAGATCTTTTGTGAGTTTGAGACCAGCCTGGTCTACACAGCGAGTTCCAGGACAGCTAAGGCTACACAGAAAAACCCTGTCTCAAAAAAATCCCAAATAAATAAAGTTAAAAAGGAAGCGTGCTGGGGCTGGAGAGATGGCTCAGAGGTTAAGAGCACTGCTTGTTCTTCCAAAGGTCCTGAGTTCAATTCCCAGCAACCACATGGTGGCTTACAACCATCTGTAATGAGATCTGGTGCCCTCTTCTGGCCTGCAGGGATATGTGCAGATGGAACACTGTATACATAATAAAAATAAATAAAAAAAAAAAAAAAAAAAAAAGAAGCGTGCTGCCAGGCCTGATGGCCCAAGGTTGTAACTTGGGTTCCAGGTGGGAAGCTCAATACATGAGGCTAGCCTAAGCTAACTTACAAAACCTATCTGAGGTAAGAGAGATGGCACACCGGGCGGTGGTGGTGGTGGTGGTGGTGGTGGTGGCACACGCCTTTAATCCCAGCACTTGGGATGCAGAGCCAGGCAGATCTCTGTGAGTTCGAAGCCAGCCTGGTCTACAGAGTGAGATCCAGGACAGGCACCAAAATAACACAGAGAAACCCTGTCCCAAAAACACGGGGGTTTTTTTTGCATGGAACCAGAGTTTAGTCTGGAAGTGGGCAGCTCACAATTGCCTGTAACTGTAGCTCCAGAAAGTCCCTGTGCCGCTGCTCCCACAGGCATCCACACTCTCTGGCTCCCACAGGCATCCACACTCTCTGGCTCCCACAGGCATCCACACACTCTGGCTCCCACAGGCATCCACACTCTCTGGCTCCCACAGGCATCCACACTCTCTGGCTCCCACAGGCATCCACACTCTCTGGCTCCCACAGGCATCCACACTCTCTGGCTCCCACAGGCATCCACACTCTCTGGCTCTCACAGGCATTCACACTCTCTAGTTTCCACACTCTCTGGCTCCCACAGGCATCCACACTCTCTGGCTCCCACAGGCATCCATACCCTCTGGCTCCCACAGGCATCCACACTCTCCGCTCCCACAGGCATCCACACTCTCTGGTTTCCACACTCTCTGGCTCCCACAGGCATCCACACTCTAGTTTCCACACTCTCTGGCTCCCACAGGCATCCACACTCTCTGGCTCCCACAGGCATCCACACTCTCTGGCTCCCACAGGCATCCACACTCTCTGGCTCCCACAGGCATCCGCACGCATGTGCACATCCTACCCCTCCCACACATACACATAGTTCAAAGTAAAATACATAATTTTTATATAGGTGGAGAGTTGGCTCAATGGTTAAAGCACTGGCTGCTCCCGGGGGGATTTGGTTCCCAGCACCTACATAATGGTTCACACCCATCTGTAACTCCAGCTCCAGGAGATCCACCCATTCTGGCCTCCTTTGGCACACAGTGCACAGATATACATGCAGACAAAATGCGAGTACACATTTTAAAAAAAAGTCTCAAAACAGAAGAAAATTTAAGACAATAAAAGGACTGAGAAGGCCTGGACAGATGGCTCAGTGGTTAGGAGGACCCAGGTTCAATTCCCAGCACCCATATGGCAGCTCACAACTGTCTATAACTCCAGTTCCAGGGGACCCAAAACCCATGGCAAAACACTAATGCACATAAAATAAAAATTTAAAAAAAAAAAAAGACTGAGAGCCATGTATAGTAGCCAAGACTCTTTGGAGAGTAAGAGCTGGGCTCTTGAAGTTTGAGGCCAGCCTGGGCAACTTAGAAGGACTCTATCTTAAAATTAAAATGAAAACCAGCATAGAGCCAGGCGTGGAGGTATACCCTATAATTCCAGTACTGGGGAGATGGAAGCAGGAGGTTCAGTAGTTCAGGCCATCCCCTACTACATGGAGAGTTTGAGACTAGCTTGGGCTACAACAGACTTTGTCTTAGGAACCTAAAAACAAATGAAAAAAGAATCATAAGAGGTAAGGATTGACAGCCAGGTGTGGTGGCACAATCCCAGCACTCGGGAGGCAGAGACAGGCAGATCTCTGTGAGTTCCAGGCCAGCCTGGTCTACAGCATGGGTTTTAGGACAGCCAGTATTACATAAAGAGACCCTGTCTCAAAAAGAAAAAAGAAGAAGAAGAAGAAGAAGAAGAAGAAGAAGAAGAAGAAGAAGAAGAAGAAGAAGAAAGAAAAAAGAAGGCTATGGAGTACAGTTCAGAGGTAGAACACCTGTTTAGCATACATGAGGCTTTGGGGTTGACTCCCAGTGCCACCAGGAAAAAGTCTGAGAGAAATTATCAGTTTGACAAACTATATTGTTTCTTCAGTGTTTTCACATTCCCATTTCTGATTAAATTTGAAGCTCTGGGTTGGGGCGCTGGAGAGAAGGCTCTGCAGTTTAGAGTACTTACTGCATTTGCAGAGGACCGCAGTTCAGTTCTCAGCACCCCTGCGGCTGCTCACAACTACCCAAAATTCCTGTCCCAAGGAATGTGATGCCCTCTCCTGGCCTCTGCAGGCTTAGGGTGCACAT